AGAGTGTTTGGATCCCTATGTTATGCACATGTTCCATCACATATGAGGCAGAAACTAGATGCAACAAGTGTAATGTGCATATTCCTTGGCTATGGAACTTGTGAGAAGGGTTACAGGTTGTTCAATCCTAAAACTAACAAAATGGTTATTTCTAGAGATGTAATCTTTGATGAGAACTCTTGTTGGGATTGGAAATCTAGTAACAAGAAGACTTTGTCCATCTCAATTCCAAGTGAAGCTTATAGAAATGAAGAGAATGAGGTTGAAGCTGCTGAAAATGATAGTATTTGAATGCACATAATTACTACAGGAGCAACATGAGCAAGTTATTGCTTATTCTTCAAGACAAGAAGAGAAAATGGATCACACTAGTTCACAAGTGTATGATTATAACTCTAAGGTTCAAAAGCTTGAATGATATCTATGAAAAATGCAATTTCTGTGTGATGGAACCTGAATGTTTTGAAGAAGTATCAGGAGATGAGGCTTGGAGAAAAGCTATGTCCACAAAGATTGAGATGATTGAAAAGAATGACACATGAGAGTTGGTCAAAAGGCCATTTTATAAACCTGTAATTGGTGTAAAATGGGTCTACAAAACAAAGCTTAATCTGGATGGTTCAGTGCAGAAGAACAAGGCACGGCTAGTGGCTAAGGGCTATTCTCAAAAGCTTAGAGTGGACTTCAACGAGACCTTTGCACCTGTGGCAATGCTTGATACCATTAGGACTCTAATTGCATTGGCAGCTCAAAAAGAATGGAAGTTGTTTCAATTAGATGTTAAGTTTGCATTTCTAAATGGTACACTGCATGAGGAAGTATATGTTGATCAACAACAGGGATTTGAAGTTCAAGGACAAGAAGACAAGGTTTACAAGTTGAAAAAATGCCTTATACGGTCTGAAACAAGCTCCTAGAGCTTGGTACGATGAGATAGACAATTATTTCAATCGATCTAGTTTTAAGAAAAGCCAAAGTGAAGCTACTCTGTATACAAAGTTCAGTGATGCATGTGTGCTTATTGTATCTTTGTATGTAGATGACATTGTCTATACAGGGAATTCTGATGAAATGATTCAATAATTTAAGAAGGATATGATAAAGCAATATGAGATGTCAGATCTGGGACTGTTACATCACTTTGTTGGTCTGGGCATAATTCAAACCAATAAGAGTATATTTATTCATCAGAAGAAATATGCCAAGTCACTACTTGAGAAATTTGGATTGAAAGATTGTAAAGCTGTGAAAACCCCACTTGCAATTGATGACAAGTTATCTAAGGAAGATGGGAGTGAGGATGCTGATGAAAGTTTGTACAAGAAAATGGTTGGTAGTCTGTTATTCCTGACAGCTACTAGACCCAATCTAATGTATGCATCATGTTTGCGGCAAGGTTTATGAATAAACCTACTAGAAAACACATGGGGACAGCTAAAATAGTCTTGAGATATGTACAAGGCACATTGGATTTTGGGATTGAATATGTGAAAGGAAAAACTGCTTTGTTGATAAGCTACTGTGATAGTGATTGGGCAGGAAGCTTGGATGACATGAAGAGTACCTCGGGCTATGCATTTAGTTTAGGTTCAAGAATGTTTTCTTGGGCTTATGTTAAACAATGCAGTGTGGCTTTATCTACTGCAAAAGCCAAGTATGTAAGTGCTGCAGAAGCTACAACACAAGCAATGTGGTTGAGGTTTGTTTTATCTGATTTTGGAGAAGAACATGTGGAGGCTACACATTTGCTATGTGACAATACTTCTGCCATAGCCATGTTTAAGAATCCAGTGTTTCATCATAAAACAAGGCATATTAATCGGAGATATCATTTCATAAGAGATGTCATTCAAGATGGGACAATTGAACTACACTATTGCAGCACAGATGAGCAATTAGCAGACATCTTTACCAAGGCTCTTCCTAAGGATCGATTCGAATACTTGAGAACTGCTCTTGGTTTGAAATCAGCAAAACATTTAGAATGGAGTATTAGAGTATAAATGTATTTGATGTGATAGTTTCATGATAAGCAATGTGTAGGATTTAATGTGAACCTTTGGATCGTATTCCAATTGGTATTTAGATTAGATTGTAATGAGTCATAGCTCATGACAACTGTAAGCATCTTACATGATGGCTTAGGAATGAATGGTTGTAATGATTTTGTAATGTTGTAAGAGAGTGAATTTGTTTCTTGCTAATTGAGTAAGCTGAAATACATTGAACATTAAGGAAAAGCTCTCTTCTAAGTATGTGTGTTCTTTTGTGCTTACTGTTTCATTGAATCAACCCAGAAATCAAATGCTAATAATAATCGATACCAAGAATGAGTTTGAATTTTCCTCAATGGTGATATTTCTGTCAATAAAATGTTTGAGTCCTTCTCTATCTGATAAGGTAACGAACGATGCCTTCCGCAAGACTGACAATTCCTCAAACATGACTTGCTTTCACCGAGGTACCTTTGCTGCCTCACTATAATTTTTCAATTTCAAAGAGCTTTTTTGTTAGGAATGTCGGTACTACAAGATAGAGAATGCACAAGGTAAAGTAGAAAATGGACACCAAGAATTTATGTGGTTTGGCAATTTATGCCTACATCCACCAAACAAGGATCAATCTTCACTATATGAAAAAGATGAGTACAATAAGAGTAGTCTTACCAAGCCAAGGACAAGGCTTGAAAGATACAAGAAAGTATGACACACACATTCTATCACTCTAAACTTCACTCACACAATGTGTAATGGAACACTCTCACTCTCACTCTTGGAGTGGAACTTTAGCTTTGGACTTGATCCTTTGATACTCACTACTCTCTTGATTGGTTGGTTGATACAAATGTGGATGCCTTCTCCTTTTATAGGCATGGATGGAACCTTGAAGAAGCATGGAAACATCATGCTAGAGATATCTAGATAATTCCACTACCTTCATAAGCTAGAATTATTTACACTAATCTTGTATGTTGGTGGAATCCTCACCATTCTTCTAGACTCTTCCATCAACTTGAACTTTGCTAGAATTCTCTAGCATGTGCATGGATCTTTCCATTGACAACCAAGGAAGCTAGTACTCTCTAGCTTCTTCCATCAACTTGATAACATGTTAGAATTGTCTAGCATGCTCTGGCCACCTCACTTGCTTACTAGAATAATCTAGAACATTCATCATGGGCTGGACCATATACCAACAATCTCCCCCTCCAGTCCATAAGGGAGGAATACCAAAAAATAGGATTGGTCATCTTGACCAAACTCCCATTGATCGAACTATTCATTAACCAAGACCCTATTGATTAGACTTCTCTTAACCGGGCTCCCCCTGATCAGAACTACCATCGTCATTGGCAAAAGTAATTATAGACTTCTTTGCCAGAAAAACATTGCTTGTCTGCATTAAAGAAGCTATTCACCGTAAGTCACAACACCTGCAGTATTGTTTCCATCCCTTTGTTCCTTTTTCCATTTACGACAATGCTTCTTCATGTGACCTTCTTTGCCACAATGATGGCATGCACCCCTGAACCTCGACTTGGATCGGCTAGGACTTCTGCCATGACCTCTAGGTCCTCTACTCTTGCTTCTTACGTGGTTCTCTGTGACAAATACTTGGCTGCTATCTGTGCCAGAAGTCTTTCTCCTTGTTTCTTCATTGAGCATGCTATTTTTAACATTATCAAGAGTAAGAACACCATTAGAAGCAGAGTTACTTATACTCACCACAAAGGTCTCCCAACTGTCTGGCAAGGATCCAAGTAACAAGAGCGCTTGTAGCTCGTCCTCAATCGTCATTTTCATAGTAGCCAACTGGTTGATGATATTTTTGAAATTGTTCAAGTGTTCTGCTACACTTAAACCATCCTTGTACTTCATATTGATGAGCTTTTTGATCAAGAAGACTTTCTTGGCTAGGGTCTTCTTATCGAACAAGGACTCAAGCTTCGTAAAAAACTCCCGAGCATTGGTTTCATTAGACACATGGTGAAAAACACTATCGTCCACCCATTGTCTAATTGTGCCAATTGCCTTGCGATTCATCTTCTTCCACTCGGTATCGGACATGCTCTCTGGCTTAGCGGCATCTCCTTCAATTAGCTCATGCAGATCATTGCAATAGAGAATGTCCTCCATCCTTGGCTTCCATGTTACCCAATTGGAGTTGGTGAGTTTGATCATAGTGCCACTTCCTTCCATCTCGTAGTGCGAGCCAACTGGGCTCTGATACCACTTGTTAGGAATGTCGGTACAACAAGATAGAGAATGCACAAGGTAAAGTAGAAAATGGACACCAAGAATTTATGTGGTTCGACAATTTATGCCTACATCCACCAAACAAGGATCAATCTTCACTATATGAAAAAGATGAGTACAACAAGAGTAGTCTTACAAAGCCAAAGACAAGGCTTGATGGATACAAGAAAGTATAACACACACTTTCTATCCCTCTAAACTTCACTCACACAATGTGTAGTGGAACACTCTCACTCTCACTCTTGGAGTGGAGCTCTAGCTTTGGACTTGATCTTTTGCTACTCACTACTCTCTTTATTGGTTGGTTGATACAAATGGTGTGGATGCCTTCTCCTTTTATAGGCATGGATGGAACCTTGAAGAAGCATGGAAACATCATGCTAGAGATATCTAGATAATTCCACTACCTTCCTAAGCTAGAATTATCTACACTAATCTTGTATGTTGGTGGAAACCTCACCATTCTTCTAGACTCTTCCACCAACTTGAACTTTGCTAGAATTCTCTAGCATGTGCATGGATCCTTCCATTTGCAACCAAGGAAGCTAGTACTCTCTAGCTTCTTCCATCAACTTGATAACATGTTAGAATTGTCTAGCATGCTCTGGCCACCTCACTTGCTTACTAGAATAATCTAAAACATTCATCATGGGCTGGACCATATACCAACAATTTTTTATGTTATGTGAAATTAATGATCGATTGTGCCGCATATACGGTTATATGTAGACCTATAATCAGATGTTCTCGATCATATATTGGTGCCATTTATTAAGAACATATCGTTCCACAAAGTTGAAACATCTTTCCCATTTTATTCAACAACATTAAGTTCTCTCTCTGATCCCCAGATCATCATCGCAGATCAGAGCATACATTCGAGGGAAGAAAAAAAAGGAAAAAACAACATAAGCAAAATGGTGAAACTTCAACATTATTCCCTTGACGGCATTGTCGTAGCACATCAGTTGGTGTCTGCAAAAGAAAAAAACATGATAAACGTATAAGTCTTATACGATGATCAGTTAAACATAAGATGATATTAATTAATCCTACAAATTGCAATTAGTGTACGATGATCAGTTAAACATATACTTTTAGTTGACTAACCACAAGTGATGGGGGAGAGATTGCACTGGGCGGGGAGGCGAGCGGCGACCCTGGCAGCGTTGCAAAGGCATTCAGGATGGACGGCTTGGAGCGCGCCACAGCAGTCAGAGTTCGGATTGGTGTTGGTGGAGCCAGGCACCACAAAAGGTGCGCACACATTTAGGCTGCTCAGCGCGGCCGAGCAACTGCTGCTCTGAGCATCAGCCTTCTGAGTGTGCACTGAGAGGCTCAGGGCAATCAACAACACAAGGGTTGTAGCAGCTTGGAAGCAGCTGAAGGAGTTGATAGGAGACTTGAAGGATGCCATGATTAGGGTTTAGGAATAAGCTTTATGATTAACTACGGAATATCTTGTAAGATAATCAAGTCCATTTATAGTTGGTAATTGGGTTAGGAAGAGGTGGCTTCATGTATGAATCACCTAATTACTAATAGGTTATATGAACAATTTTCGTGTGGGGGAAAATCACGTATGTCTCATGATCCACTTAAATGGTATACAGCTCAAAATATACGACAAAATCTCTTAAATTTTGCTACTTTTTTAGGATACCAACGCGTATTAAGTATAAAATTCATAAACAATATATCAGGTGATGTGTTGGACCAATTAGATGGTGTAGTAAACACTTGAAATAGTGATACACCGCTCAATGTGCAAATGCGCCACTTAATGATCCACGATGATAATTTTTTATGTCTTCATATTGAATATGTGTTGTATTAAGTATGTGTTCGCACCATATCCAAACTGTTGAATTATGTTATATAAAATAGTAAATTTTGAATCTAGCATTTGACATAGAATCCTCTCCAGATACCTTTTATTCGGATCCTCTTGATCCTTCAATTGTGTATGTTTAACCGAACATCAAACGAGCATGAATTAATAACTTTTTTTTTCTTTTCTTTTTCACGTTCATCTTGTTCCCCTTGCTCACTCTCTCTCTCTCTCTCTTCCCGACTCTCTTCTCTCTATCTAGGAGGACTTGGTTCCAGTTTTGAGCAATCGGAGGCAAGAAGACGACATGTGGGCGTGGTGGGTCGGCAATTGGAGCCAGAACCCATCAGAGAACGTAGAGAATTGAAGGATCCGGATGAAAGACATCTAAAGAGAATCCTGACACCAGCATCATAATTGTTTAACTTGGTGCTAGGAAATTGACCTTTGGATAACATATCACGTACCTTGGGTAGCAAAGAGTGTATCCAGTGTGAGAAAATTGAGATTTGGATAGAAACCTTTCATTAAATGAAAATCCAGCTGCTATCAGCTGGAGGAGCAAATGCTTCACAAAAAGAATCATGAATGTTTTAAGTACAAAACAGAGATAAACAAAACGCCATTGCTAGGAGGAAGGTTTATCTTCAGCTGCAGCAGGAGCTGTCCAATACTTTTTCACGGCGAACAGCAGTTTTTCCCTCTCGAGAGGACCGTCTTCGTGGTCTACAATCTGGCTGTCCCATTCCATTCCGTCGACGATGCTCTTGATCTTCACCAGCACATCAACATCGTCTCGCATGACCACGCTCCCCTCCGGCCTCAGAATTCTGTCCATCTCCAGCAAAATGTCTTCCGCTTCGCATCTGCAAATCGAATAATGTGACACACATTGGTACATGTTGGTATTTAGTCACAAAAATAATATGCAAATGACTTGGAAAATGTTTAGGTTTTACCTATCTTTGTAGAGGCTAAACACTGAATCAGCATGAAGGAAGTCATAAGTTCTTGGATATGTAGACATTGCTTCACACCTGCGAATTTAAAACAACTCCAAGCGTGTTAGCCTTTAAAATTTAGATGTATGTCACATAGAAGATGTATGATAAAATGTTACGAATTTACCAGTTCTGATATGTTCCGATCAATCCCCGTTCATAGATGACTCCAAGGGTGTTAGACTTAACCTCCACCGGAACCACATTCATGACCCAGACAGGGAGATCAACTAGGGCAGCAGCAAATCCACCCAACTGTGCATTCATGTCCAAAATATTTCTATACCTTCCAGGGTTTCCCAGCTGATTATTCACCGATTTATAGTACGAAACTCTCTTCTTCCACAGCTCCGAATCTTGCTTAAAAACGTCAGCCGTCACACCTTTCACAGTTCCCTTGCTAATCCTTGGTGGGATTGCATTGAGCCTATGTGGCCAGTTTGCCAACTTCCCTCCTGCAACTTCTTCATTGTCTGAAACTTCTGGCAATGGGGTTAAACAAGTCTCCAACTTTGTGTACCTTCAACATTTTTGTACAAAAGAAATGGATGAGTTTAACGAAAAATAGTTCAGTTATGTTTTTCTTTCTAATTAAATTAACGAAATTCATTCAAAACGTGCATATGACACTAATCTCAATAAGATCGTAACATCTGTAACTTTAAAAGATAAAACTAAAACGAGCACATACCAGGCGGTATCAGGATCATTGGCGGGACAGAAATTGCGAGCCTTGCCGAACTTGCGGTTGTTTTGGCAACTCAAATGGTTGGTGGGTTTTTGCCAAATGGCAATGTCGTCCTTCTCCGCCAACTTTTTCCAGCAGAGGCTCTTGGCTACATTCTCAATGGAAGTCTGCTCTTCATTCAAATCCTCTTTGGTTCTTTCCCAACCCTTCCAATATTTTGCCCAACGGATCGGCGGCCCCGATAGAATCCAGTACCCGCCCGGTCTCAGAACTCTGTCCACCTCCGTTAAGTAAACCCCATCTGTACCAGTTCAAAATGCACGAAATTGCATAAGTACGTAATTACCAATTCACGTGTTGTAATATAAACTGATGACATGATTGATATGTTATGATATTAATAACTAGATTTACGTATTCTCTAAATTAATAATATTATATGATCGTGTAAAGGTGACATAAAAGATTCGACCAAAATTTGAAGGTTAAAAGTGACTATAGAAGTTTTACCGTGTTGCCCCCAGGGAATGAGGCAGCGAGAGCAATGGGCCATGTCAAAGGCTCGAGAAGGGTAAGGAAGTCTTTTCGACGCAATGACTCCGATGAGGGCGGGCACTCCGCGCTCGAGAGCAAACTGGACCTGCGACACGTGCGTGTCCCTCGGCGCGAACGACATGGCGAGGATGTCGCGGGACAACAGGTACGCTCCCCAACTCGCAACCTGCGTTGCATGCACGCACGTTGAGAAAATAAGAAATTAACATCACGTGGCTGCCACGTGGAATCCCCTCGAGTCAACGAGGATGACCTTGCTAAGAAAATAAAATTATTTTCGATAAATGCAGAAGGAGAAAATAAGCGTGATAAATTGTTTCTCGAAAAATATTATAGCATAAGATTAAGACCAACTTCGAAACAAGGTAAAAAAATTATTTCTTGAAAAATATTGTAGCACAAGATGACTTCATCCCGATTTTAGGGTAAGGATTACGTAGAATATATATTACACCGTGGCATTTCAGTAATGAGTAAAATTTTCTTGCTTAAAAATTGAATTTTCATAAATGAAAGATCATCAGCTCGGTGATATCAGATTTGGTGAAGTTATTTTCCAAATCGAAATGTTTTCTTTCGGATTGAGGAACCAATAATTTAGCCTCATGGCTGACCAAATTATACATAGTATGTATATTATTTGCACTTGATGATAGGATTGAGTATATTCAATTGAGATTTTGAAGGATTTTAAGGAATTTATAAATTCATGGATTTTGATGGATTTTAATTGATTTTAGAGATTCTATGTAGATTTTTGAGTGAATTTCCTCAAATTTTCAGGGGAAGAGGTGATATTCAATAATGCTTAAAATACACTACAAAATCTTTCAAATTCCTTTGAATTCCCCAACTTTTAAAAACCCTTCAAAATCAATCTCTAATTGAATACTGAAATGGTATACACTTCTTCAAAATCCTGATTACACCTAAACTTTCAGATAATCACTTAAATCCTAATTGATACACCTGGATTTATAAAAAGAATTAAGATCTCTCAAAATCTCAATCGAATACATCCCAAATCGTGCGAGATTCCTTTATCAAGTTGGGAGTAAATCTTTAAATTTGAATAGCTAAAATTAGGAGGGAGGCAATGTCCTAGTTTGGGAAATTAAACTGCCCATCCCCTCCCCTCCCCTCCCTATCTTGTTTCCTTCTTATTTTATCACTAGGATATTAAAGTTGTTTAGTTGTCACCATCAATTACCAACTAATCCACAGCTAAATTCATATTTTATCCAAATTTGTCCTAATTCGCATACCATCACCAGTTTTCTTCTAAAAAAGAACCATTCAATAATTCGAATTAAAAACAATTATTTATCCAAATGTGTTTTTTATTTTAGTACATCAATATTTTTAAACTAAGAAGATGGGGAGTTCGGCTAAGCCACACAATAGGCATCTTAATTTGGTATCGAATTTGTCATCCACGAGATTCAAACCTAAGACCCCTCACTTCCAAGTGAAGAGGAATACCACCAAATCGTAGTACTAAGTGACTATCAAAGTGTGTTAGACTAAACAAGTAATCACTTGGCGGACAATGGGGACGAGAAATTTTTCAATGTAATCGGAATACAGGGTGGTACATCATGTGTCATTATACAAATGGTGAGATATGTGTGTCAAAAAGTTAATAACTTAAAAAATAAAATTTCCCACCACTTATATAATAAAAACACATGGTGTACCACCCGTGTTCGGGTCACAATAAAAAAAATTTCGATAGGGACAACTAGGAGTATTAACATACGTTAGTGAAAGACAAAATTTTATCATAATAATTTAATTAGTAAATCTAATCGTAATTAAGTAGTAAAGAAACAAATGAGGAAAATAATTTAATTAGTAAATCTAATCATATTAATTTGTAAATAAACAAATAAGGATAATGCAAGCTTGCTTACCCCACAGCCTGTATCAATGGCGGTCCGAATCGAGCCATCTTTGAGATTGATGAATTTGCCAATATCATCAATGTACGCGTCCGCACCGTTAGGGAACATGGTGCCTCCCCCAGGGAACCTAAACCTATCTCCTTCGTATATGATCCAATTCTGCACGGCCTTCTCCACCGTCAACTCCTTGTGCGGCGCATTGGCGTACCAAGCCAGATCCCGGCTTCTCGGCCACGGGAACACGTTTTTGTAGCCGTGCGGTGCTGGGATGCGGCACTTAAGGAGCTCGCTCTTCTCGGGGCAGTGCCTCTCTCTGTATATGAGCCTGTCACGGTCAAACTTCAGCGACCTCTTGTCGTCCTCGCATGGCGTGTACTCGCTGTATTTCGCATCGCAGCGCGGGAACACGTTGGTGGTGGTGGCGTGGGAGGACGTGGCGGTGCTGAAGTTGGGGCTGTGGTGGGAGGTGAAATCTAAGGCTGACGCGGTGGTTGTTGTGGTTGTGGTGTGGATTTCGTTGGGGGATTTGCATGGGAGTTTGAAGGTTGGCGTGGAGGCGGTTTTAGTGACCGCGGTGGGGCCGCCGTGTTGCCAGAGGCCGAAAAAGTAGGAGCAGATGCAGAGGAAGAGGACGACGGGTAAGGTGTAGACGTTGGGTTTTTTCCAAATGAATGGAGAGGGTTTGGAGGGCTTGGAGGTTGGGTGGTACGGAAGGCGGTCGTCCTTGGCAGCCATGGATGTATGGTGGTGGTGGTGGAAAGTGTTTGACGATTTTCTTTCTCTTCCCTTGGAATTTAAAAGGGTTTAGATTTGAGGGAGGTGGAGGCAGTGAAGGGCTTAGATAAATAAGGTTATGATGCACGTTGCGGCATGTGGGGTGGTGGTGTTTGTCTAATTTACCAACACATTGGGGTTTGGACTTTGAAATAGACCTACCAAGTATAGGCAGGTTAATCTGGTTCTTCTTGCTTGCTAGCTTGCTTGCTCGAGAGGGCACGGTGCGGAATTTTTTATTGATTGAATAATTTATTTGCCACTTAGTAAGAGGTCTTAGGTTTCATTATTGTCAAAGGCGAATTCGAATAACATTATTGTTAGCCCATGATGAGGTTAGGCCACACTTTTAGTGTAGATAATATCGTTTGTTAAAAAAAAAAAATGAAAAAAATGCCTTAACTCATGGGGTTTGAATTAGAGTTGTCAAAAATGAAACTGAGATTGGTTTAGCATGTAATCTAGAGGTAAATAGATGTGTAACAAGTAAAGTGAGGCCAAAAGAGTTGAAAATGTTAGTTTCAAGGGGCAAGATGAGACAAAGCCAACTTCAAAGGGTAAATCAGACTAAATAACAGTTTCAGAGAGCATTTCAATAATAAGCCTTGTTTTTAATGTCCTCATCCCATTAGTCTACCTAGTTGGATTATATCCATCATTGTGTAGAAACACTAACATATTACACTAAGGTGTGTAGATCCGGTTAAATCGCACCATAAGCGAGTTGTTATAAATTGTAATCGAATGAGAGATAAAATTAAAATATTTCATTAACAAATTGAAAAATACAACTAATCCAGAACACTAGCTGTGTATTCGTTTCTATATGGCCTCAATACCATGTTACAAGAAAAACGAAGTCAAATATTATCATTAAGAAAATATATATCAAATATCAACTGGTGTATGTATGTAGCTACATGCTCCAAATGAACCTCAGCTAGTATTGCACTACATAAAACCTGGTACCAAGTTGCAAGAAAAAAATATTAAATATTGTCATTAAAATATATCTCACGTATCAACTGGTGTATGTAGCCAATGAACCTCAACTAGTATTGCACTTGCATAGATCACAGATCCCACTGAATCTTTGACACCAATGTTTCGTAATCTCGCGACCAGTTCATCTTATAAAAATACCATAAAATCTTTCCGAATTGAGAAGAAGATAAGTAATATGGAAAGAAGATAAGCAAATCAAGTGATTCTCCTAACCCCTCTCTTCTTACTGGAAGGAAGGAGTTCTAATAGGGAAATTCAATTCGCACGGACGCAGATGGCCCTAAGATCATAAGATCGAGATCGGGCTATTGAGGCTAAACGGTACCAAGTTGCATGATAAAAAAATCAAATATCGTCATAAAATATAAACTTCGTTGCATTTAAACATTGGCTTTTTTTTTTCATTGATACAGTCGATGTGGGATATTTCAACACGCACCCTCACGTAAGACCCACTAATTGGGTCCCACGTGGGAGATTCACACATCGACAACCATGTGGAGCCAAGAGAACTTACCCTACACGCGAGGCCAAGGGACCCACCATCATCGCGCAAGGTCAAGGGGACCTACCCATCACGTGGCAGGATAGTACGGGCCCGCTCTCTGGCTCTAATATCATATAGAATTATTAGAGAGACGGTCCGAGGGCCCACTTCCAACAGCACCAATACTGTCCCCAACTTGGTAATTACCACATGCACTATCCATGTGGAGTTTTATCACAAAATGTCTCGGTGTTAGTTGGAGTGAGGTTAGGATATTTAAACTCTTTTTTTTTTCTCATTGATACGGTCGATGTCGGACATTTCAACAGGCTAAAACCAAGTTGAAGGTTGCTTAAGTCAATTTTTGTTTTGTTTACAGAAGCGATAGGGTGTCAGAAGAGTACATTTTTCAGCGGTCAATTTCTTGATCTGGAAGATCGCTCTAAACACAAATTAATGAATTTGAAACCCCTATGCGACTACCATACATACCACTAAAAGATACGTTGCACATTTGTCACAAGGAAGGATGATAGACGTAACAAACCTAGCACTAGAACCCTGACATAAAGCCATTACAAATAATGAGGCCACACAAATCACCGTATCGACACAAACAACATCTACTACCAACCATCGCGGGCACCCAACCAAGCCATAGCAGGGAACGCCCATAACTAACACCCTTTAGTTTAGGAGCAACAAAATCGGCTCATATTCATTAAGAAACAAAGATGGTTAGACTCAACCAAACTACAGAGAAGTGTTGGAGACATAGTAGAGAAGACGGGGAAGCGGAGGGAAGAGGAGGTAGAGGGAGGGGCGAGACAGAACTAAAGAAACGTGAAGAAACAAAGGGGATGATGGGGTGGGAGGAGGATGGAGGGGAGGAGGAGGAGAGGCTAGGAGGGAAGGGGAAGGCTTGCCACCAGCTCCAAGCCGAAGCAAGGGGCCGATGGCCGTGGAAATTTAAATCTAAATTTGTTTAGGTGAGCAAGGGGCCGTCATGTCAAAAGCCAAAAGTTTGCTCCATTTATCAATGGCGTAAACTTTATCTTCAACTGCCACTCAGTACTATGGTCTGGTGGTATTCTTCTTCACTTGGAAGTGAGAGGTCTTAGGTTCAAATCTTGTGGATGATGAATTCGATACCAAATTAGGCTGCCCATTATGTAGCTTTGCCAAACTCCCTTCTCCCCTTATTGTAAAAATACCGATGTACTCAAAAAAAAAAAAAAAAAATTTATCTTAAACTCGAACAACATCGTAACTCAAAGGAAAGCTTCCATAATAATCCTCTTGTTTATGAACATAAGTCCATGTTGCGTCTTTACCAAGTCAAATAAAACCCAATTCACTACAACACTCATACATAACCATAAAAATGCAGTCGTTCGGGTCTTCTGAAATCATAACCATCTATTGAACTAGATCCACAGAAACCAAGAGCAGTGGAGTTGTCAACTTAACTCATTTACTTCTTCTGTCCTTTAGCATACAACGTCGTGGCATGCAAACGACCATGAATCGTCAACAATCTGTCGAAAATCATATACAAAAGCTCTATGGGCAAATTCGGCCAACCCAAGAAGACAAAAAGGGAAACAATTAGAGAGATGATTTGATATCATAGAGTTTTGTGAAACGGTGCAAACTACAAAATAACAAAATGCATCCTTTGTAAATTTGGATAAAAAAAAAATGAAGTATTATTGGCACTCCAAAAATCTCATTCTACACTCCTCACAAGTGTACTTTTCTTTCCAAATATAGAAAATTTGGAGTGTAGAATGAGATTTTTGAAGCGCCAATAATAATGTCCTAAAAAAAATTTGGATTAAAAATGGTCAGGTCCACAAGCTCGTGGCACTCACAACGATTATTGACTGTATACTTAACTCTGCGAGTCTGTGGTATAATTTGATCAAAACAAAGAACTTTTACTCTCCAGCTGTGGAATTATTGATTGCAGCGAGGGAAGGACTTCCGTTTGCGTCTAAGTTGGGTTTCAATCATGTTATTTCTCCTCCGTGGCTGACGCCATTTTTGGAGGCGGAATCGGAGTTGCAGAGTCAATGATTATTTGTGATGGCAAGTTTATTTTTGGTGGATTGTGCCTCCACATTGGGGGTTTCAAACCAAACGATTTTTTTTAGAAGTCCATGCTTATCATCTTTTCCTTCTCTCCTTGATTTGTATTATATGTGTATGTTACTTTTTTTTTTTTGTAAATGAAATTCATCTTTAACGATAAAAAAAAACACCTTCACCCTATCTCTGTATAACTTGTGGCTAGTGCACCCAAAACTTCAATTCGATAATTATGAAAAAACATTAACATATATGATATGCAACCATAATATAAAGAACCCAGAATTTCAAAATATATGTATATGCAATTTGATTCATGCAGACTTAGGATATCATGATAATTGGACGCGAATAAATCTACAAATAAAATACGAGTAATACTAAGGCAGGAGTAGTATCATTGAGCAATTGAAATTTGTGTTTCAATTTGACCACCTGAAAATGCTTGTTCAAAGATGTTGAATGTAGCCGCTTAATATTACAGTTTAGTAATATTTTTTCCATTTAAAAGTGAGAGATTTTAAGTTTGACTTCAATAGATGACGAGTTTAATACGAAATTATTATGATAGACCTATTGTCTGGTTTCGCCCAAATTCTCAACCCTTATTATAAGTAATGTAGTCGTGTAAATTAAAAAAATCATGAATGTCATTCCACAAACTTAAGAATAGAAGCTTGGGGAATAAGAAAACAAAGTAAACCAATATAGCCAAGGACACTAACATGTAAATCCTAAGATCATCTCCAACACTTGGCCTAAAATCTAAAATTTTTAGCCCATAAAATTTAGGTTTTAACCCAGAAACAGTTTTTTCTGCTTCAACCTTTCTGGCCTAAAATTTTTGCCTAGATTATTAAAGAATAAATTTAGACTAATTTTTTTTCTTAAAGTAACTTTTTAAAAATAAAATATTATGTAGACTATTCTAATTTAATTTTATGAACATTTTAACCTAAAAATATTTAGATTCTGACAAATACTGAAAAATCACTAACCGACACCATGAAACTCGTTAAACACTATGAAAAAATATGAAACAAATGAAAGATTTTTTTTTTAATTACTTTAGCCGTTAGATTTAAATTTGGACTGTTAATTTTTTTTTTTACCGTTGAATTTCATCAAATTAGATCTTAACATTTGGATTCAATGAATTTGTAAATATAAAACTAAATAAAATATACACATATGGTGGGCCAGTCCACTAATCCTGAGCTAAATTTGGCTTCCATTTGAGTTTTAGGTTTTAGGCCACATTTTAGCCTTGGGTTGGGTTGAGTTTTTTTTTTGGGGGGGGGGGGGTGGGGAGGGAATAGAAGGGGAAATTTGAGTTTTAGCCTAGAGTTGGAGAAGGCTTAGGCCACCTACTAATTTTGATCGAGTTGTTATTTAATATTACAGTTTAGTGATATTTCTCTTCACTTATAAGGAAAAGTCTTAGTGTAAATAAATTTTGATCAAGTTTGTCGGATAACCCAAAAAAAAGTACTTAGTCCTAGTGTGCATGTATATATTGTTTGTGCACCAAATCTTTATCATGTCTCGTAATACCACGCATGATCTAATTAATAACATTTCACGACATATCCCTTTGCATTATAGCAAAAGATTAACCCATGCTGATGATTAAGAGACCCAACTGCTAAATATATATGCCAAGTTCATCCATGGAGATTAATTGATTGGAATATCCCGACATATGATTTTTGAGAAATCTCGTACTTTTTTGGGGTTATTTTCTAATAATTTACACTATCGGGATGGGAAATCGAATTCCAACTCGCCGTTCAAATGAACACGAATACCCACCCGAAGCCGTAGAATTTTCCACGTACATTTTTGGTGATCACTGCAACACTCCCCCAGCCACAGGTCCTCCTCCATATCAGGTACTTAAGTCAAGATTAAGCGTGATGCAGCTTAATTAATTTGTTCTGGCTGGCCCGCGGAAAGTAATTATCTACTAATCTTTGTTCGATTATATAAAACATGTTATGTAGACGGTACCGGTAGTGATTTTAGCTCCACCAAATAGAAGCAGCGGCGCAAACAGGTTTCAACCCTTTGGTGTTGCACAAAGCAGTCACTTGGGGTCCTCCTCATATCCCAGCAGAAGTTTTTAATCGACAGTTGCTTGAAGATGAAGCTTTAGCTCACGCGTTGCAGATGCAGGAATTGGAGAACGACTATCAGCATTTTTCCATGCAAGAACACTATAGGGTATATAGAGTTCTATGTTTTTTATATTACAAACGATATTCCTTCTCTAAATACTCCATCGACCTGACAAATCCACCTTTGATTAATTGGCTAACATTTTTTTCAATTTGTTAAAAATGCAGGATGAAATCCATGATAATGTCGATGTAGATAACATGAATTATGAGGTAAATTCAATAATATATGAACATTATATTTTTATGAGTTATGACGTTATTCTATTTAGAGGATATTTTGAGTTTTTCCGTAAAATATATTCAACCTGAAAAATTAATTAAAGCAATATATTCCATTTTGCATTCAAAAAATTGCATGTATTTAGTACGATATCATATCATTGAGACGAAGTTTTAATTGAGGTGACGCATTGACACATTTTTTCTTTTCGTGTGACGAATTGTATATGACCTATGGTTCTAGTGGCATAGTTGAATTCTCTCTTTTACTGAAGATTTTAATTACTTAAATAAGAACCCAATTAGTGTTAATCAGTACTGTGTACTAGGAATTGCAAGCATTAGAAGAAACCAACGGCAGTGTTGACCAAGGGCTCTCTGAAGAGATTCTTTCCATGTTGCCATCTCACAAATACAAGCCACCAAAGAAAAAAGTCGGTTCGACAGATGAAGATAGTAACAAAGAGTAAGACAGACCAGTTATCTTTGATCTTAATTTTGGTGTTTTATGCAAAACTGTAAGGGTGAGCCTTTGCGCAACGGATATGTTGTTCATTTATGATCGAAATGTCATATGTTCGAGGCTGTAAACAACCTCTTTACAAAGCAGAAATAAGGTTGCGTACAATAGATATTTCTTCTATCCCAATAAAGTGGAAAGCCTTGTCAATATGGGTTCACCCCTTGTGCTAAACTGTGATAAAAAAAGAGATTACTTTGGCTTATTTGGATGAATAATATTATATCATTTTGTAGGTGCTCTATATGCATGATGGAGTATAAAAGGGGCGATGCGATGACCACTTTGCCATGTTCGCACCAGTATCATGAAAAGTGCATTAAAAAATGGTTGGAGAATGATAAGGTATTTAAAACGTTCAAGATTATTTTATTTTATTTTGAAAGATGATTAAACAATTGAAAAAATATTTTAATTTCGTTAATAATCATTTCTCCCTCTTTCAGAAATGCTGCATCTGCAAAAAGGAGGTAATGCCTTGAGCAATGGAAGAGAAAATTACAGTCGCTAGCAGCTAGCTCCATAAATATTTGTATGAATTTTCGTGATTTAAAATTGAAATTAAATTCATTTTATAGTGATAAAAAAGTCTTTTTGGGCCACAGAAAAGAAAAATCATTGGTAAATTGTTATGCTTTCCTCATTTATTTGTGCAAGGTATACCATTTACAAATTTGAAGTTGTAATTTAGTCATTATATTGGTAAATTATATATTTACCAAAAAATAATTAGGAAATTGCAAAAATAATTGGTTCAAAACAAAATTGAAGTCATGGGTGCCCACATGCTCCATTTATTTATAAGAGACTCTTGAATTGGGTGAGATTTATCAGCGTACTCAGAAGACGAGCTGATACATGTCATAATAGAGATACACAAAAATATATCATCTCATCTCTCTGCTTATACTATGATAAGTGATGTATCGACTTATGTTTCAGACATTTTCTCCTTAAATCGGATTGGACCTATTATAGTATTGATGATAAAAAAAAAAATGAAAAAGTGAAGTTTGTTGGGCCTCTTACAATTGGGTGTGAATCTTGACTTTGTTGGGCCTTGAAGAAAACGACATCGCGCCTACATTTGTAGGACTTTGTTGGGTAACAGAAACATCATCTTGAAACATCCTAAGATCACCTTTGTCTGTGTTTCTGCCCCCGGGGTTAAACTAGTCAATTGGCAATCTTTAACGAAATTAAACAGAACAGAAGCCGCACGTGGGAAAATCAGACGGTAGTCTGTCTCTATCCGCTAACCCTATATGGTAAAGGTGGTTATCTCATCGCACTCATTTTTACAGTAAATATTTTCGTTAATTTATGTCATTTGATTTTTTGTAATTTATTTAATTTGATGATAAAAAATTGAGATGATGTGTACGAGAGAAAGTAAAGTGAGTGGATAGCAGCGGAAAGGGATCATTTCCTAATCTTTTTCTCTTAATTCACCAAATTAGGGAATCCGTGATATTGAAATTTGATCCAACGATTATAAATAGGAGCCAACTTTAAAAATTATAATAACTTCAATCGTTAAATTAATTTTCAATAACACGAATTCTATGATTTTGTGGATTAGGAGGAAGGGATCTAGACAAGATCTCTATAGCAACACCTTATGCTAAAGGGAGTAGGATTCTCTCCTCTTATATTCTCATCCCTTTCCCTCCTCTCCTCTCACACTTTGCTTTTTGTCTTATTATTTTTATAAAAAAATCAATATAAAATGTTAACGTAACTTAATCGTAACCATTCAAATAGGAGGAGGGAAGGATGAGGAAAGAGATTAGACGGAAACAGAAAAAACATCCAATAGGATAACCACACGTGTCCATTTTTCTTCAATTACCATGCGAATTGTCATATTTGTCCTCGTTTCCGTTACCGAGAAGGGCAAAGACTGTAGACCTACTGAGTTACAGCCGGATGCACTCGATCGCAGCTCGTATAGGCTAATCCAGGTACGACCCGCATAGCCCATAATAAGTAACCTAGAGATCAACTAATCACATTCCGCCACGTGGTCTAGTCTTCGTGTCGCCATCGCGCGATCTACCACCGACTATTATCATCAACCGATGAGAGGACACGTGTCCCTACTTTCACCGATTGAAGCCGGTGATATAGGGTAGGGCACCGATGCAGCCGGTCAGTCCTCGTCTGCGATTCGCGCTAGTATATAACCAGCGCCCCTCCAACTTCTTTCCACTCTCCGTTTCTCTTTCTCTTTCTCTCTCTAAAAATTCTCTCTCTCTCTCTCCAAAACTTCTCTGCAAATTTCGGCTTTATTTTTTTTCAAATTAAGGCAACGTTTCGGCTTCTTAGAGCTCCCGATTCCTGAGGTCAGTAGCTGCCGTACATTTATCTCGATTAATTTTTCAGTTTTTTGCTTCGATTTTTGCTGCTATTTCAAGTTATTTAATTTGGTTAATTAAATTGTGCTCTGTTCGATCTCTGGACCGCAAAAGGCTTACTGATTTTTTGTTCTACTTAGTATTCGAAATTTCGTTTCCGCTGCTCGATCTTCTTGTTAATCTGCTTGATTACGAGTTTTACTAGTTTAATTTTGTTCAAAATTTGAGCTGGAGCTGCTTTAAGTTCGTCTTTAGTCTGTAATTATCAGTTTAATTGATAAAGATTGAGCTAAACAATTGATTATTCCAATTGTATTTTGTTAATTTTTGATTCGGTTGAACTGGGTTGGGTTTAGATCCTCTAGAATTTACGGGGTTCAGGGCTGATAAGCTAATATCATTGTTTCAAGGGTAGCTTGGTTGGAAATTAGGGTTTTTGTGGGGCTCAGTAGAAAATCAACATTTGGAACCCTAGGGGGGGCTTTGGGTTTGAGTCGGATTTCGTGTTTCTTGCCTCGTTACAATTTACTTATCTGGCCGGTATTGGTTTGGAATATAGTTTAGTTTCTATTTTTAGTTTTTTTTTCCTGGTCCTACTGCTGATAGTGTTGTTTCCTCTTGTTTATCTTAGATCCCCATGAGAAATTGTTGAAAGCTCATACAGAAAATATAAATTGTGCACCATCTTGGGTAGCATATTTATCGAATAACTGGTGAAATTAGTGACAGTGAGGTGGGGTGTCTGAAATTGTTTGTATTTATACTGGTGAGAGTGCCCAGATTGTATTTGTGATCCTTTTTCTTAGAGGGGTTGCTTATTTCTTTTGTTTTCATATCGATTGAGTGGGCTGAGCATATTAATTATTGTAAAAATACTAAGTCAGGCCTGGCTCTGGAGAGCTACTTAGACTCTGGCCACCAAAGGGCGGTGCCTCCTATGGTGCCTTCTCGGGTGGCTGGAGGAATAGCTCAGTCTTCACCAAGTTCTGGAATTTTCTTCCAAGGGGATGGGCAGTCTCAGCTTGTAGTTAACTCACACTTGAGCTCATCTTTCGGGAACTCTTCTAATTCCATTCCCGGAACTGGGCGTTCAAATCTCGGTCCGGTTTCTGGGGACATGAATAATGCAGTTTTGAGCGGTGTGGCGAACTCAGGTCTAAGTGTTGGGGCAAGTTCTTTGGTCACAGATGCAAACTCTGTACTTTCTGGAGGTCCCCATTTGCAAAGAAGTGCAAGCATCAATAACGAGTCATACATGCGCTTACCAGCATCACCCATGTCCTTCTCTTCCAACAATATTAGCATGTCAGGGTCATCGATTGTGGATGGGTCTTCCGTAGTGCAACAAAATTCTCATCATGACCAGAATTCTCAACAAATTCAGCAGAATCAGCAACACCAGAACCAACGGCAGCAAGGGCCTTCTAGTGCTACTTCCTTACCAACATCCCAAACTGGTCAGGTTTCCCTTCCCATGGGAGCGCGAGTACCTGGAACCTTTATTCAGGATCCAAACAATTTGGCCCATGTCGAGAAAAAACCCCGTCTGGATATCAAGCAGGAAGATATTCTACCGCAACAGGTGATACAACAGTTACTGCAAAGACAGGATCCAATGCAACTCCAAGGTCGAAATCCCCAGTTACAAACCATGCTTCAGCAACAGAGATTACGGCAACAGCAACAGCAACAGATTTTGCAGTCAATGCCTCAACTCCAGAGGGCCCAGTTGCAGCAGCAGCAGCAGCAGCAGCAACAACAACAACAGTTGAGACAACAGCAATTTCAACAACAAGCAATGCAGCCAGTATCTTCCATTAAGCGCCCCTATGATGGTGGCGTATGTGCTCGTAGGCTGATGCAATATTTATACCACCAGCGGCAACGACCTGCTGTGAGTTCCCGTGTTTAATGCACTCCATTGTGCAACCTTTTTTCCCTCTTCAGTTCCATTTTAGCTGGGTTTATATTATAGACATCTTCCTTTTTGTTATAAATATGTTATTTATACACTCATACTATTTCTTAGATTCGTGGACCAATTTTCAATTCAGTGGGATCTTTTATTGACATTCTTTTTTACATCAAGAACGTTTTATAAAACTCTTAGGTTTATCTAATTATGTGTGGATTTTGTTGACAGGACAATAGTATTGCTTATTGGAGGAAGTTTGTTACAGAGTATTACTCTCCTCGTGCGAAGAAAAGATGGTGCCTGTCATTATATGATAATGTTGGGCATCACGCACTCGGTGTTTTCCCTCAGGCTGCTATGGTCAGTATATGCGTTAGTTAACTCGTCTGTCCAGTCATGTGATTTGTTTCTTGTATAATCATAAGTGACCGTGTCTGTATCTACAAATGATACTCTTATTCATGCAATTGCATAGTTAACGTCTAACGTCAACTGTTCTCACATGTGAATATTTTCTTTCTTTTTGGTCAGGACGCGTGGCAATGTGACATTTGTGGTTCTAAATCTGGAAGGGGTTTTGGTAAGAAAATCTGAAGTTTTATGCTAGTTTATTGGGACCTTGCCAAGGGTTTTTACAAAACTAGAACAATGATTTTGGGGAAACAATTAGTTTTTGCTTCTTATTTGTCTTGAGGTACTTCTTGGTCCACTTTTTATGCTTTTTGCATAGATGGACACTACCCTCATTGTCTTTTTAAATTTCTTCTCTGATGCCCCTTACAATTGATCATTTTCTATCACTAGTCTCCTGAAAAACATTTCTGTGCCCAAGTAACTTAGAAATGTATAGAGATCTCATATGGCATCACCTCTTTGAAATATTTAAAGTATTTTAAACTGAAACTAACCAACTAGTTTCACGTCATGGTTACAGAGGCGACATTTGAAGTGCTTCCTAGACTTAATGAAATCAAATTTGGCAGTGGAGTCATCGATGAGCTTTTGTTCTTGGACTTGCCACGTGAATGTAGATTTCCTTCTGGTGTCATGATGTTGGAGTATGGGAAAGCAGTTCAAGAGAGTGTATATGAGCAACTTCGTGTTGTTCGGGAGGGTCAGCTTCGTATCATATTTACGCAAGATTTAAAGGTAAGAAAAGAATTCTTAATTTTGACTGTTGGTTTCTGTGACTTGGAAAATAACCTGCTTCAAACCTTCTACTTTATGCTTTATCAGATATTGTCTTGGGAATTCTGTGCAAGACGACATGAAGAACTTCTTCCTCGTAGGTTGGTTGCTCCGCAGGTACTGGTCTATGTTTGCCTTAATTTATGTTTTTCTCTTATTTGGATGGTTGACATGCGTTATATATACTTTATGTATGCATTAGCTAGAAGCACTTTTACATTGTAATCATTATTTTTTTATTTTTTATTGGTACTTCTCAGTTTTGAGTTTGGTGATTGTGAGAATATGATGATCGGTAGTGATATCCAGTGATTTAGCTCATGTGTTATGAGAAATGTGCAATTCTAGAACCTGTAATGACATTTTTAACTCTTAGACTGTAATGCATGTGTAAAGGTTTTTTGGGAATCTATTAAGACATGTTAAATTGGTATAGTGGTGTTATTCCTTAATCTGATTGTATTCCTATGAACCATCTTAGTTTGATTTTAGTTGGGCTGGGAATATTTTTCTAATTTTCGTATTTTCTGTTCAGTGATTCATTGTAATTAAATACATCACAATGTTAGCAGAAAAGAAAAGTAGATAAAATTGGGCAGACTCTATATCTCGCACTTATTGAAGCATGCTTTTTTCTTCAGGTGAATCAGTTGGTTCAAGTTGCTCAGAAATGTCAAAGCACAATAGCTGAAAGTGGATCCGACGGGATCTCTCAGCAGGATCTACAAACAAACAGCAATATGTGAGTTTATGAATGGATCAGTGAATTCCTTCTTTTTTTTCAGTACTTGGGTATTAGATTTTGATTCCTCTCCGAAGGGCTGCCCTGATGTTGATTGTTTTCCTCAGGGTACTGACAGCTGGACGGCAGCTTGCAAAGAGTTTGGAGTTGCAGTCGTTAAATGACTTGGGTTTTTCCAAAAGATATGTGAGGTGTTTGCAGGTATATGCTATAGCATTTATGGACATGAGTTCTGATTTAAGAAATAAACTTAAGTTATATTTTCTTATTCTGAGTTTTGTCTTAATTGCTTACTGAAAACTTTTGACAGATCTCAGAAGTTGTCAATAGCATGAAGGACTTGGTTGACTTCTGCAGGGAGAACAAAGTTGGGCCAATTGGTTAGTTTCCCTTGTCCCCATGTTGCCATGTTGTAAATCTCTGCTGCTGCTTTGCATGGATATTGATTGTTAGTACCGTCTTGGCTTTACATGCATGCACAGCACTATCTTAGCGAGCTTCTTAAACAAACCATGACATGATTACACAACTGATACTCTACTTGCTACTATTTGTAGCTTTATTGAGTCATACTGCGATAAGCATTATCTTGTGGAATCTTCAATTTTGAGCTAGATATACATCTCGAGTATTATGTCTGATTATATAAATGGAGATTTGGCCTCTAACATTCTCTGGTCACCAGACCTGTCGTCTCCAACCTATTTTCCTGTAGGAAGTAGTTTTGTCATTGTTTCTTTAGTTCAGTATTTGGCCTTAATTCAAGTCAATCTTTAATGCGGTGGAGAATTTGGTACTTGGTTGCTTAGTTTTTTGTTTTCTCCTGTGTTTCTTGTTCCCTTTCACCCCTTTTACAGTGGTCCATTGACGTAGTCTGTTGGTTGGTTGAATCAATTGCGTATTAAATTGTCTAGCAACAATTATGACCGACATTTTTTATAATGATTTATTTTCTTAGTAACTTATGTTGATAATTGCAGAGGGCTTGAAGGTTTATCCTCGGCATGCTACCGCGGCCAAGCTCCAGATGCAAAAGATGCAGGAAATGGAGCAGTTAGCAAGTGCTCAGGGTTTGCCCACCGACAGGAACACACTCAATAAGCTAATGGCATTGCATCCTGGACTGAATAACCAAATGAATAACCACCAGATGGCTGGTGGGCGTGGAGCTATGAGCGGTTCAGCACAAGCTGCTCTGGCACTAACTAATTACCAGAATCTGCTCTTGAGGCAGAACTCAATGAATTCAAATGCGAACTCTCTTCAACAGGAGGCATCTTCTTCCTTCAATAATTCCAATCATAGCCCATCTTCAACATTCCAAGGAGGTGCCGCTGCTTTAATACCAGGATCCATGCAGAGCTTACCTGGTAGTGCCTTGTCAAGTCCCCATCTACCCTCGCGACAGCCGCAGCAGCTGCAGCAGCGGTCACTTAGTTCCAATAGCTTGCTACAACAAAATCATTCAACCGGCTCCCAAGGCAACCAGGCCTTGCAGCAACAGATGATCCAGCAACTGCTACAGGAGATGTCCAATAACAGCGGGGGAGGACAACAATCTCTTCCCAGTCCAAGCGCAAATGGGAGTGTGGGAAGGAATGGATTGAGTTTTGGAGGCAACAATCCAGCTGCAGCTCCATCCACCTCCAATATGTCTGGTAGTCACGGCCCTGCTCCAAGCAGGAGTAACAGCTTCAAAGCCACTGCAAACAGTGACTCTTCCGCAGGAGGTGGTGGCGGCGGTGGTAACAATGCCTACAACCAGCGAGCCCCGGATTTACCCTCAAACCTTCACCTGCAGGAGGATCTGGTACAAGACATTGCCCGTGAATTCACAGAAAATGGTTTCTTTAACAGCGATCTTGACGATACCATGTATGGCTGGAAGGCGTGACGCTAACATAATTTGGCCTAAATTGGCTCCCATTGGGTATGTGGCCGGCATATATCTTTGTACAGGACAATTTAAAATAGCAGTTTTTCACCCCCTTTCGTTTCGATTTGGTCTCAGTATTGTTGTGACATCGTGCACTTGTACTTGGGTAGTTCAGTTGAGTAGGAATTTTTTGTGTTTTTTGAAGGTGTTTATGTGTCTCCGTGTCTTGCAAGTGTAATCTATTGGACCAAAAACAACTCTTGAGAACAGCTTTAAATTTCCCAGTTATATGATATTTTACATATTTCACTTCTGGTTTCTGCAAATTATACAATTTCAAGTGTTCTCGTTTCTTGCGTCTTCAACCATTTAAATTATGCTGAAGCGGTTTTTCCGGAGTCTATACATTAACTGTGCACGGATCATGTACAAATATTTACAAATGACTCGTCAGATTGTGTGGTAAACCAGTAATTTATGCAACGTCTCGTCGCCCAGTAGGCCAAATAATCGTGTGTCAGTCGGTCAGTGTCTCTACATTGCCATGAAACCAGAAGATTGGACAACCTATATGAAATAAGTTCACTGCTACTATAATATCTAGTTTCAATAACTCATCTTACGTTGGTCAGTCAGTCTTTACATGACATTATATAGTTTACTTTAAAATGTCTGATAATGGTGTATCTATTCTATGAAAGTTCCTTGTGATCATGAAATTATAGGGTTTATTTATTTATTTTTTTCTTCCAAAATACCAAAGAATATGAAAAAGCCATTCCCACGCGTTGGTTTGGGAAAGCCATTCACATTGAAACACAAAAGAATGAGAATATGGCAAAAGACATGCACATTACTTTGGTTCAAATTTAAACATGTTATCTGAGCCACCCCCTCACTAAATTAAGATGCCAAACAGAACAAATTGCATGCTTTCGGTTAGGGTTGCTTCTCTAAATATGCACATACATACATGTATATGTGTGTGTATATATATAGATATCTACGTACATTTTATTAACTTTTCTCTGAACTTGCTTGGGGTTATTAACACAGAGTCTAAGCAGAGACCACCTTTGGTGTGTGTACAATCAATCTGGACCATTGAAAAATTGATCTTGATTAGCATGTTAGGCTTGTTGACAACAAAGTCACCCACATGGTAATGAACCCAGCTGCCTACTTCATGCAAATAACATTCGGATACAGCGTGCTGGCCCTCGGAGGTCGATAACTGGAATCGGACCGGCTTGATGTGCCACCCGTGGACTTGATCAACGGTGCATACTCGCCGGCCAAATCTTTTCGTACAAGTTTTGCCTAGCTGAAGCCGGAAGTACAGGTTGTAGCTCCCTGGGGGAAACTCAAACTCCAGTTCACCTAGGGCTTCAACCCACCAAAATTTTTTAAGATACGCAACTGTGTGGAACCTATAATATTAAATGTCAGAAAACAAACTAAAACCCATTTAATTATTTATTTAATCAGATTTATAGGGCAGGTTTGATATATAAGAGGGTTAATCAAGACGTGTAATATAGGGTTCTTTGCGTAAGCATGCAAATTATACAAGTTTTCAAGCTATTGGAAGACAGATTGCATAAGGGTCGTACGTATCATATTTTGGCTTGTTCTCAAGGATGATGCCACCAAAATGCATGGCAAGTTATTGATTAAGAATCAATTCTTGTAAGCTTAGATATGAAGGATGAATAGAGAGAAATCTAATTCCAAGGAGCCCACCTTGAGATATAGTCATTATTCTTTGGTGCTATATACCAATTTTTTTGTTTTTTAACAGACTGATATTCTCAAATATTTTGAATTTACGAAAAGGGGAATTTATATATAACTTGTGCAAGGAGATGGTCACACTGACCTAACCATTGAGATCCTATTAGTTGGAGCTATACCAATATTAATACAATTAGTGCTTATTAATCATGGTTAGTGAATAAAAAGGGGTCATTTCATTTTTGTTGTAGAAAAAAATTACTCAAATTGAAACTTTGATCACCTCGATTCCTCAGTTGAGATATGACTCCAATATCTTCGATCGTCTATTCCTGTTATCCGCAAAGCCTTTGATGAAATGGCCAAGAAAACTTGTCCACAACTCTTATCCAACCAAGCTTCCTGTGAGGAAAACAAAACAACCATTTACATATACATATAATAACTGACTAATTATTTGGTAGCAGTAGCACTAAATACATCTTAAATATTTATTTTTAATAGATCAAACAAAAGGGTTTGAGGGTACCTTGGTGCCACCATCAAAACGATTGGGCTGGCACAACTTAGCGTATAACTCTTTCTTGGGCAAACTTTCAAGATCAAGAACTTTGTCGACGAGAAACTTATAGTTTGAAGGCAGCTTTGACTCCCATACAAAATCAGCCAAAGAAGCGGCTCGAAAAGCCTTGTTAATCTGAGCCGATTTACAAATCTCCAGCGGATCCAAGGACATAAGAATGGATGAAACACAACTCTCTGGTAAGTCCCCAAGACACGGTTTTGTTGGAGGAGAAGAACTGGGAATATCCCTAGAAAAGAAGGAGAAACCAGTCCCCATAATACATATATGTGTATGTATATATATGTTATATAACCAAATTTATGTTTATGACACGGAGAGGTAGAGAAGGAGGTGATAGAGGAGATGTTGATGAGGAAGGGGAGGAGAGATTGATGACACTGGAGTCACCATATTCTTCATGTATACGGTGGAGATAAAGTCGTTGCCATGGGTTTTAAGAAATGCAAAAGGCGCTGTTGTGACAAATGAGACAGACTACACGGAATTAAAAGGAATATAAATCTTTTTGTCAGAATTATATTTGATAATGTTATTTAATATAGTATTATGTATCTTCCCACATGTTTATAGCTGTGAGAGTGTAGACAAACATAGCCTAGTTCATGGTACGTAGTGCCAGTAGAGCATCCAATCCTACAGATGAGAGACATGGATGATATATTATATTACGTACATCGAATACACACACACACACACAAATTCCTTGTGGAAAGCGAGGGCAACAAAGAGTTGAAAGTTCTCAAATCAAGTTTTAACTCCCACAAATGTATTTTTTAGGGTCACTAACTTTATTTTGACGTACCTATTGATATGAGGATCAAAAGTACTATGCCGCCTCATGTAATACTGAGGCTGCATGAAAAAGAGAACTAATCAGTCACCAAACCAATGTGGGGTGAGATATTCTCCTATATTAATACACACACACATGATCGTGTTACACCAACGAGAAACGAAAACAAATTGTGAAAATAATTTTAAAATCTAAGTCTTTGCTATGAGAAGAGAAAATTCGTTTTTTTAATTAGGGTTGGGATACAAAGATGTAGTGGGACAATCTGGATATGAATTAATTCATGTTTTTATTCACACCTTATTATAATCCAATATCAACTAATTAGATTTAGTTGGTATGAAGTTTGGAGCAAAATCTGTTTATATTTGTCAGGAAGTTCGCAAGTTGCACATGGCCAAAAATTAAAGTAAACTAAATATCAAAGTGGTGCTCTCGTACCATTAACAAAATGATTAGCATACTCATTTATTTTCTCACGCAGATGAATTAATTCATGTTTTTATTCATAAGGTGTGAATATGATCTCCTAATCAGAATTTCGCGTGGCTAATTCGCATGTTATTTGATAATATTATATTTATGGACACCTCAAGAGGATGCAAAATGTTCCCAAATGGTAAGATTTTTATGCTGTTCGACCTTGATAATTGTTTATATATGTTTCAATTATTAATTAAGGCTTGTGTTTTGTCCTTTAATTCGCGGCTACTTGCTTTTGTTCCTCTAGTGAACTATGAAGTCTTGTGACACAAGGAATTTTGGTTAATTATACGAGAAAAATGAATTTTCACTTATTTTTTTTATCTGTACTTTGGTTTATTTATATCTTTTAGATTGAAAAAAAATCAAAGAAAAAGACGTTTCCGTGAGCTAATATACAACCTAGCAGTCTTCCAATTTGAAACAAGTTTATTGATGTTGGGTTTTATGAAATCTCTCAAATTCAAATGTCAATTCTATATGATTAGTATAATATACACACTCATGGCATGCATGTAAATAACAGTTTGTCAATAAATTAGATTTAAACCAAGAAGCATAAGCATATTTTAAATAAAATCTTTAGACTCGTTGACTATATTTCCATCTCCGCAAATTTTCTTTATTCTCCCATATATATGAGTCAGCCACTAATTATTGAATGAACTTTTCATTCATTTGTAAATTTACGCTTCTAATTTTTCAATTAGAGATTTGTTTTTTTGGTACAACTTTAATTAACATGATTTATGGAAAATTATATTTATATATTTGGAATTAAGATGTCCAACAAGTCATCCATATCATCGTCATCTTCTATTTTTACGTGAGTGGTCTCCATCTTCTTGGTTTCCTTCCTTTATCAACCAACTCCATAGGAAGTCATCTTCTTCATCTCTGCGGGCCTATCTCTAGTGCAAAAGAGAGATGCATTGCCCATCGTTGATGAATCCTAAGAGCTGGGTAAGAATCCATACCATGCTTATAGCTTTAGTAGGAAAATAATTTTCCTGTTTTATAGGTTAAACCTATTGGTTTAGTAAACCTTCGACAAAGATTTGTTTTTCCAAACCTTTGACACATTCCAACGTTAATTACCATATGCTTTGAAGAAACTATGGTCGTAATATTGTTAGGTTAAGGAGATTCTAAAGTCAAAGGAAACCAGGGTCCCCGCTCCCATATTTTAGTTACATCGTTTATTAATAGTAGCCTTCATGCACGCGCTCACGTGGGTGCATAATGTATTTTTTGAATCACGGTGTGTTACGCGCTACTTACATGTTTTAAATGTATTTATATGCGTAAATTGACAAAAAGAAAGTCAAATATTTGAAGTAAATGAATCATTTTAGATCATGCTAGAAGTAACCTCTCTTAAACCAATTAAAAGAGCTGAATTCACATAATAAAATTGGTCTCTATAGAATTTACATTAAGAATAGAGAAAATAATATTTAATAAACAATTGATTGAATCATATTATTGCCAGCCATTGTGAGGCCAAGCTCACCCCCTTCCCCTTAGTGTAGATAATATCATTTGTTAAAAAAAAAATCATTTGACAATTAATTTAATTACATTATTATTTGTGTGCGAAAGACTTTTTTTATAACCAGCATTACACGCTTTTTACATGTTTTGAACATGTTTAAAAATAGAGAAAATAATATTTAATAAACAACTGATCGAATCATATTATTGTTAGACCATTGTGAGGCTAAGCACACCCCCTCCCCTTAGTGTAGATAATATAGTTTGTTACATAAAAAAAATCATTTCACAATTTATTTAATCACATTATTATCCGCTTGTGAAATATCTTTTTTATATCACGTGAGCACCATCAACTTTGTCATTTGTTTATTATTTTCTCTCTTCCCTTTCATTTTTTTATTCTTTACACATGGGACAAAATTTTTGGTGTCACCCACTTTGACAAAAATAATTGGACCAAACTGCCCCTCAGCAAAAAAAATCAAAACCTACCCAAAATCATATTTCAAATTATGCATGGGTAAATTGGTAATTTGGCCATCAAAAATCTTATCTCCACTGTGCTGCACTGTTCATCACATCTCCGGTTTTATATATAATAGATTCTAGTGATGTGCCAAACACATGATATCATATAAAAATTTGTGTTTCACGGCTAAAAATGAGTAACAAATATATATGATTAATAAGTTCTAAGAGGCTTAATACATCGAGTGAATTTGTGACATCATGTTTTTGACATAAGTTTTAAATTATATCGGACGAATCTGTGACACCTTATTTTTTATTATCTTTTTGAAATAAAAAGGTTAAAGATAATTAAATCTTAACATTAACATAATGGATTAGGAGTGGTGTCAAACGTCGTGTCATCTGCCCCATATACATATATATGATTGATAATTTTTAATTATGATCTAAAACAGCAAGACATCGTCAACTTGTTCAGAACTTCACATGAATCATGTGTATACAGTAGCACTCTCACCCAAACTAAGTGCAACTTGGCACTAATTCAAGAAACTTCAACTCCTAACACAAATACACACACACAGAGATCCGGGAATACTCACAGAGGTATTTCAGCCTCTCATTGGCCACAAGTCTAGCTTCCACACCAACATCGGATTTCGAACCCAAGATCTCTAGTTTTTAATTTGAAGGAAGTCTCGCAATTCGTCATTTACCACTGGATCACTAACTCTTGTTCCTAACACAAATATATTGGGGATTGTTTATATATTACCTAAACTTTTTATTATAGAATCTTATTTGTTAACCAAAACTCTAAAAAAGTACCATTTACTACTAGAAATTAAAATTTACCCAATCATATTTTGCTGGATGCACCATATTTCATCGGGCCAAATGACTTTATCAGATAAAAAAACATTGGTCGGGCAAACCTAGTCAACATTTAGAATTTTGTCAAAGGCTTTGCAACAAAGATATTTCGCAGGACAAAAAATTCGTCGGGCAATGTTTTGATGCGAAGGGAAAAAATTGGCCCTTATTATTAATTACTTATAAACATAAAAATAAAAAGCCTTTAAAAATATAAATAAAAAAATGCATTACACGTGAAAAAACAAAAAACGAAAAACCCTATGCATCTTCTTCATCCCCTTCCAATTTTTTTTACCCAACAATAAGTCATTTATCCGCCACCAATTAACAAGGACAATCTCTTCCTCTCTCTCTCTCTATGGAAATTGGATTCCAATTTTCCATCACCATGGCTGTGAAAAATAAGCTACGACGGTAGAATATAAAATTGAACTCTACAAAATATGAGAGAGAGAGAGAGAGAGAGAGAGAGAGAGAGAGAGAGAGAGAGAGCAGGGGTGCCAAAAGGTTAAATATCAGACTAGGGTTTTGAATTGTAAATCATGTTTAAGGTTTTTGGATTGTAGCCTAAAATCAATTCATTGAATACTTGAGTGAGGTTTAAACAGCCTTGGCTTGTCAACTCAATGAATATAGAACAAGTGATCGACCAGGTTGTCACATGAGATACTTATATCCGATTACAAATAATTCAAATATACACAAGACAAAATAACTGAGAGAAGTTAACGGCTGTGGAGGAGTTGTAGATAGAGATGGACTGTGGAGTTGTAGATAGAGATGGAGTTTTCAATTTCAGACAGCCTTGGCTTATCACGCTCAGAGGGGGCGTTGAGGGGGAACGAAAAATGCAGTCAGGGCTCCAAATTTGAAGGGGCCCCTAAATTTTTGCCATCTAACATCATGTAATAATGTTCTATATTTAAAAAAAAATGTTTTTGTTAGCATTTTAAAACTACATTGTGCACTCCTTATTAGAGATTTTTTTTTTCTTTTCTTTCTAAATATAAAAACTTGGAGTACAATGAAACATTTTGAGTGTCTAATAACACCCTAAAAAATGATAGTTTCTTAAATTAGGTTCACATAATTCTTTTTACTACTTCATTGATTAAAATCCTATTCATTTTCAATTTTTTATCAAGATCCTTGGGTATTAATAACATCATTAATTATTTGAATAATAAAATATTTTTATTTTTAAATATATTCTTTTAGTGTTAAAAATGTTACAATTAGTATATTTATATTTATGGCTTAATTTTTTATCATATATTTTTATTTTTAGTTTGTACCAATTTTTTTTTTCATTTTTAATTTGTACCCATATATTAGTTTCTTTTTGTGCCAA